CTAGTGAAATGAAGAGGTTCGCCCGAGGCTGTCTCCTTCGCTATCGTTATTGCGTTATTAGAGCAACTCCAATAGCTCCTATAAAAATCTTCCCGCAAAAGCTGTTTTACGGGGTGACCATATAATTTAGGGGAAGTTTTCTAACACCTACTTTTCTCAGTTCACATAAACTTCTTTCCTATTTTTTCTATTTCTCACTAAATCGCGTCAGGGCCCGCAAGTCAGTGACATGGCAAGGCGACCGTGAGGCGAGGCAAGGAAGGTGCAGTGGCGTTGGTGGCTGGCCTCGAGGCAACGGCGCGACCTCGCGGGGGTAAGGGAGGAGGCGGGGATACGCGACCTTGCGGCGGTGCTTGCATGGCGGCGTGGACCATCTTCCCATAAGTTTTTTTAGGTGAACTTCCCATGAGTGAGAGATGCGGGAGGGGGTTATACGGGATCTTGTAATAAAAACCGGTCTATGGTGTTATTATTTTTGAAGTTGTCTATGGGAGTTGTTGGGAGCCTATTTTATTCTCGAAGGGTCATTGGCCGTTCTTTATTTAGAAAGAAGAGAGTACAACATGCTTGATAGTCTAGACGGTCTAGAGCTATCAGCCGACAGAGTCGAAGCTCAAAATATGACAGGTACAACTCGAACTGAATCTACAAGATGGCAATAAGATGGGCTAGGGTTTCCTCCCACTAGTGAAATGAAGAGGTTCGCCCGAGGCTCTCTCCTTCGCTATCGTTATTGCGTTATTAGAGCAACTCCAATAGCTCCTATAAAAATCTTCCCGTAAAAGCTGTTTTACGGGGTGACCATATAATTTAGGGGAAGTTTTCTAACACCTACTTTTCTTAGTTCACATAAACTTCTTTCCTATTTTTTCTATTTCTCACTAAATCGCGTCAGGGCCCGCAAGTCAGTGACATGGCAAGGCGACCGTGAGGCAAGGCAAGGAAGGTGCAGTGGCGATGGTGGCTGGCCTCGAGGCAGCGGCGCGACCTCGCGGGGGTAAGGGAGGAGGCGGGGATACGCGACCTTACGGCGGTGCTTGCATGGCGGCGTGGACCATCTTCCCGTAAGTTTTTTTTAGGTGAACTTCCCATGGGTGAGAGATGCGGGAGGGGGTTATACGGGATCTTGTAATAAAAACCGGTCTATGGGGTTATTATTTTTGAAGTTGTCTATGGGAGTTGTTGGAAGCCTATTTTATTCTCGAAGGGCCATTGGCCATTCTTTATTTAGAAAGAAGAGAGTACAACATGCTTGATAGTCTAGACGGTCTAGAGCTATCAGCCGACAGAGTCGAAGCTTAAAATATGACAGGTACAATCCAAACTGAATCTACAAGATGGCAATAAGAGAGAAAGGGATACATCAGTAGAAGTTGCCTACACAACCGGCAGCTCTACAAACAGCGATGTCCTTCTTGATAAGCTCAAGTATCATGTCAACATTACTGGCCACTTGCTCGAAAATCCTTGCATTTCTTTCTTTCCAAATTCTCGAGTGGATCAGGATGGTTATAGTGTCAAAATTTCGTCTGGCCCTCTTTGGAATCTCTCTCCATGTATTGATCCACCAAGACTCTATACTACCTAAGCGGTCATCTGGTATTGTGAAGGATGCTTGCGTCCAAGCCCTGGACCAAACCCGTTGTGAGAAGCGGCAGCATAAAAACAGATGTGTGCAGTCTTCATGCGTCGACAGGCATAGCGGGCAAGTACCATTAGATGGCCAGCCCCTTCCGGTAAACGATAGGTTTTTTTTTCTGATACAGGAGCTATTGGAGTTGCTCTTAAAGTCCCAAACTTTCCAGGTCCAAATTAGACACAAACAATGAAGTGGTCGACGTTATGGCATGGTTACGATTAAAAGTTTTTCTTTACTGCAAGGCATGTTTGGGCTTGCCCACCGTCCATCATTGTGCAAGAGGCGTGCACAAGATAGGGGAGTAGGCTCGGTAAATGCAAATTGCAACATTGAAATAGTAAAATTGCAACAAAAATAGTGGATCAGTAAATAAACAAAATCCCGCTCAAAAAAGGTAAATAAACAAGATTGTACCATTACACGTAGGAAAAACAAGGTTAGAGTTCAACTTGTACAAACTTTTGCATAGATATACAGCAGTCGCAAAGTTTCTTGCATCGGCAACAGCCTAAAAGATACTCAAATCTGTAATCACGCGGACCAGAGCATTTGCGAGGAGGCGTCGGCTGTAGCTAGTTCTTCTTTCTCGTTAAAAATCCTTACCTTCTTCACGATCATGTGTTGGGGGAACTCAGTGTCAGTAGAGAGCGGGTCTTCCTTGTACGTGGTGACGTCGACGTCGAGCTCCACCGCGCCTGAGGCCAACTCCACCGCGTGACCCTATCCTGTCCGGTCCCGTCCGTTTGGGATAAAACGGACGAATAGCGCGGCCCAGCGCGCGGCCTCAAACGGACAAATGTCTTGATTTCGTCCGTTTTCGACCTATCTCCGTCCCAAATTTGCGCTCGGTTTGGAGTGAAACGGACGCGCGCGGACGGCCTGGACGCACGCCCTTGTCCTCCCCATGGCCCGCCTGTCGGGGACACTAGCAGTCCCTCCGCTCCCAACGCTTTCACTCTCTCTCTCTCCCGCCTCGCCCCGCCTCGCCCCGCCGCCGGCGTCGCCGCTATTATCCGGCCGCCTCCTCACCGCGCAGCCTCCGGCCGTCCCTACCAAACCACGTCTTGACATGGCCGCGACCATGTCCGCACTTTGGACGTAGTTTTGGCCGTCGATCGGAGGTTTGGCCGTCGCCGTCTTTGCCGGCGGCAGAGGGGACACGACCGCCGGCGACGTACCACGGCGGCCTCGACAGCTTCAGACGAGAGCTCCAGAGCGGCCAGTAGACGGTCGGCAACCACCCCTGCTGCGTCAAGGTGATCATCGCGGCCTCTTCGCCACCACGACCGCAAGGTGTTCGGTATTTTGCCCACAAAGATATGGACAGTGAAGACGAGTTTTTCTTCCATCACTTCCTTTGTTCATCGGACGATTCGTCGTCAGATATGAAGATCTTGTGGTGGCTGCACTGGTCGTTCACGACCACATTCAACGACAGCTTCCTCAGTACAGGGGGTCAGTTCCTGGCCGTGCTCCCAACCTGAACCGCAAACAGGGAGAGAGGCCACGCCCTGCTCTATGCCGATTACTTTGCCAACACCGCTCTTCAAGCCGGATAAATTCCGTCGCCGTTTTCTAATGGCAAGGCATGTGTTCAATCGTATCCGAGAGGGAGTGGTTGCTCATGACCCATACTTCAGGTGCAAGACGGATGCCCTTGGCAAGCTTGGATTCTCCTCTTACCAGAAATGCACCGCGGCCATCCGCATGCTTGCATATGGAATTTCAGGCGATCTGGTGGATGAGTATGTGCGTATGAGTGAGACAACATGTCTGATGTCAATGTACAAGTTTTGCCAGGCTGTGATCGAGGTGTTTGGCCCAGAGTACTTGAGGCAGCCAATTGTCGCTGATACAGAGAGATTCTTGATGACCAACGCAGCTAGAGGCTTTCCAGGCATGCTTGCCGCATAGATTGTATGCACTGGGAGTGAAAGAATTGTCCATTTGCTTGGCAGGGCCAGTACAAGGGGCATGTCAACGGGTGCACTGTCATATTAGAAGCGGTGGCATCGCAGGATCTTTGGATATGACATTCTTTCTTCGGCATGGCAGGTTCTCACAATGATATCAACGTGCTGCAGCATTCTTCAGTCTTCGCGAGGCTTGCAGAAGGCCACTCCCCACCTGTCAACTTTGAGATCAACGGCCACCAGTACAACAAGGGATACTATCTAGCAGATGGTATATATCCTCAGTGGTCAACTTTTGTGAAGACAATCTCGAAACCCCAAGGTGAGAAGAGAAAGAGATTTTCCCAAATGCAAGAGAGTGTTAGAAAGGATGTGGAGTGTGCTTTTGATGTGCTTCAATCCCGATGGGGTATCGTTCGAAACCCTGCACTGTCATGGGATAAAAGGAAGCTTTGGGAGGTGATGACTGCTTGTGTGATCATGCACAACATGATCGTCGAGGACGAGCGTGATGAGAGTATCTTCGACCAAGGATTTGATTATCAAGGTGAAAATATTGAGCCCCTGCACCAAGACCCGACCACATTTGAATAGTTTGTCCAATTCCACCGTGAGATGCGTGATTGGCACACTCATTTGAATCTTCAAAATAACTTGGTTGAGCACGTGTGGGATCACATTGGCAACCAATAGATGTATTGGTCCATTTTATGTTCAGTCAAGACAATTTCGATTTGGTTGTAAAACAATTTTATTAAAGACAATTTCAATTGGGTTGTAAAACTATTTTAATTTTTAGACAAATATTTGGGTTGTAAAACTAGTTTTGATAAAAAATATGGGCATTTTTGGCCCTGAAGGACAGGATGGGCCAAAGGGATGCGGCCGCACGCTGGGCGCGCGGCCACCGCATCCCAGGACATGCCCGGACACAACCCCATTGCCCTACCCAAACGGATAGAAAATCAGACAAAACAGACGTCTGTTTGGGGTCGTGCGGTGGAGTTGGCCTGAGCGCCAGTCCGACCCCATGTGGTCGCGGAGGCTCTGCGACAGCCCCACCCCGGCTCCCCGGGCCGCCACCTCCACATCCTTGGCCCACCACCTCTTAGCGCAGTCCCGCGGATCCACACGCGGCCAGCCGAGTGCGATGCCGGAGTACATCACGGCCACGCCGGCGCGGTCGACGCAGGTATCATTCAGACGGAGTGTGATGTTGAAAGCCGGTGAGACCACGCGGCCGGCGGCACCAGGGTCGATGCCATCGTAGCCCGTGAGGTGGACGGAGACGACGGCGGGGCTTCGACGGTCCATGACCGTGGACAATGCTACCATCAACAAGACAGAAACCAGTGCAGATACTAGCAGCGTGACAAAAGACGGCTCCTCGCTGCGACGGTAGGGTTTGGCGGCTACCCCAGCTTCTAGATCATCGCTGACTTGACCCATATGTATGCACGATCGTCAAGACAAACTCGATCCTTTGAATGACAAATAGACGTGGGAGAAAATTCCTGGGAGAAGGGCCTTGGTGGTTCGTTGGATCCTTTTCTTGTTCGAACTTAGGGAGAGTCCTTATCCTTCTCTTGAGTCATCTATTTTAAAACGGAGAGAGTATGTAGTAGTACCTAATTGTTGGAATATGAGCAAATTACTATGAGATTTAATCTGAATAAATGGAAGATAAATCATGACTACAGTAGCGGAGATTATACTAATCATGCGAACTAGCATAGCAGATGAACAGATCACGTCTAGGGCACATACTAGAAACATGAATTCTGCCACGATCTCGAACAGGAAGGATAGAATTACATACGGTGCAGCGGGAGCAGCACCGCCGGCGTTGACGTTGTCGCCCATGTCGTGGAGGATGAGGTTGCCTAGGTCAGGCAAGAAGTCGTCATTCGCGAAGTCGTCGCTGCCAGCATTCGCGCGAGTGCGCCCCCAAAAACCTGATCGCCCCTCTCCCGTACAGGATTACGAGAGGCGGCTAGGATAGACGTCTGCCTGACTATATAGTGTGGGACGGACAGGTCGTGGGAGTAAACCCCACGTCCGAGTCGTCATGATCCAAAAAAATCGGAAACAGGTCAGTAATTAACGCGTTCCTTAATTATTAATTAATGACTCGCTAATTTTTCCTGAGCAGCAAAAATATAGACAACATGCATAGCTCTGTCCTCGGCTCGGCTCAATCCCACAACTCGTGGCGCGGCGCGGCGAGGCGAGCGAGGAGGAGGAGCGCGTGTGTAGGTCTCCTCTTCTTATGCTCATACAAGTGGTAGAAGAGCTCACCTTATAAAGAGGTGCAACTCTCTCTTAACTTCTGGGGTGGGACTAAACTTTAGCCGCACTCACTACATTCACATGTGTGCATGAATGGGCCAAGAGAATTTCAGAATTTTAGTTGGGCTTTGGGCCAAAGGCCTACTTGCAAAATTCCAACAATCCCCCACAAAGTCTCATTGGCACATCTCATCATTTAGTTCAAAAACATTGTTTATATACCGATACTTAGTGGAGACTGTGAAATTGAACTTCCACTTAGAGATTTATGCTACACTAGATCACAACTCGAAAAGTGGACTATTCCTTGAACTACAAGTTTTCTGCGAGACTAGTTTCACACAAATTCTTGACCGATACTGGGCTGCGGCAAGGCTTCCCCGCGGGTGGAGCGTATATGTCGTACTCCAGGGCCTTTTTATGAATTTATTAGAGAACACCCAATTCTCACAGACTGCGACGTTAACAGTCAAATTCATATAGGCGTGTTCCTCAGAAGATGTTCTGCAGGACAACATCTCTGCTTACCCAAATAAGCCACTTGAAACACATTAAGATAAGTATCAACCTGCCATGCAGATCAAGAGAGTATTGCATCTTCACGGACCAACAACTTGTCTCCCACTTCTACTTCACGGGATCTCCGATCACATAGAGTGGGTTACCACTATGGACAACTCATGCGGTGGGTCTCAAGCCCATCTCCATCGATGCATTATCTATCACGTTATGTGATAGACCCTTTGTGAAGGGATCTGCCAAGTTTTTCGATGTTTGGATATAATCCAACGTAATAACTCCAGAGTTCCTCAATTTTCTGACAGATTTTAGTCTCCTCTTCACATGTCTTGAGGGCTTCATATTGTCCTTTGAAATGTTTATCTTGACGATCACAGTTTGATTATCATAGTTCATCAGGATAGGGGGTATTGGTTTTTCAACCATAGGTAAGTCCATCAAGAGTTCACAAAGCCACTCTGCTTCAACAGTGGCAGTGTCTAATGTTGTGAGTTCTGCTTCCATAGTTGACCTCGTTAAGATGGTCTACTTGCAAGACTTCCAGAAAATAGCGCCACCACCAAGTGTAAAAACATAACCGACCTTAATCTCATCAGCATCAGATATCCAGTTTGAGTCACTATAACCCTCCAGTACCCTTGGATACCCGGTGTAGTGAATCCCATAGCTTGCAGTGCCTTTTAAATAGCGCATAACTCTCTCAAGCGCATGCCAATGATCATCTCCCGGTTTTGACACAAACCGACTCAGCTTGCTCACAGCAAAAGTATGACAGGCCTCGTGGCATTCACCAAATACATAAGCGAGCCAATAATCTGAGAATACCTCAGTTGATCTCTAGCAATTCGTCGGTTCTTTCGAAGCAACACACTAGCATCATATGGAGTTGGAGAAGGCGTGCAGTCGCTATACCCAAAATGACTCGAGACCTTTTCCACATAGTGAGACTGAAGCAGTGTGATCCCACCATTCTCATCTCTCAACAGCTTGATGTTTAAGATAACATCAGCTACTCCTAGATCCTTCATCTCAAAACAGCGAGATAAGAAATCCTTAACCTCCTTGATTAAATCAAGTTTGGTTCCAAAGATCAGTATGTCGTCGACATACAAACAAAGAATAACTCATTCGCCCCCACCATAGCGATAGTACACGCACTTGTCACCATCGTTTACTACAAAGCGGACAGTAGTTAATGTTCTTTCGAACTTCTCATGCCACTCCTTAGGAGCTTGTTTAAGGACATGTAAAGACTTTAATAACTTGCACACCTTTCCTCCCTGACCAGGTACTACAAAACCATCTGGCTGATCCATGTAAATTTCCTCCTTCAACTCTCCATTGAGGAAAGCCGTCTTAACGTCCATTTGATGAACGAGAAGACCATGTGAGGCAGCCAGTGATAGTAGCACCCGAATTGTGGTCAGTCTAGCCACGGGTGAGTAAGTATCAAAGAAGTCTTCACCTTCTTTCTGGGTATAACCCTTGGCCACAAGCCGTGCCTTGTACTTTTCAATTGTACCATCAGGTCTAAGCTTCTTCTTGAACACCCACTTACATCCTACAGGTTACCCATAAGGACGGTCAGTGATCTCCCAGGTACCGTTAGCTAAGATGGAATCCATCTCTCTACTAACAGATTCCTTCCAGTAGTCAGCATCAGGAGATGCATAGGCTTCTGAAATAGTCCTGGGTGTGTCATCCACAAGGTACACAATGAAATCATCACCAAAAGACTTTGCAGTCCTCTGTCTCTTTCTCCTCACAGGAGTTCCATTGTCACCCTCAACAGGATTCTCAACGTGTTCCATCGCAATGGTGGGTTCAGGAATTACAGCGAATTCCTCACTAGATGGAGTAGGTATCTCCTGATTTGGTGAACTCGACATATCCTTCATAGAAAATATGTCCTCAAAGAAAGTTGCATCATTCGACTCCATAATCGTACCAACATGCATGTCGGATACCTCTGATTTTATTATTAAAAATCTATAGCCAATGCTATGAAAAGCATAGCCCAAAAGAACATAATCCACGGTTTTTGGTCCAAGCTTGCGCTTCTTGGGAATTGGTATATTGACTTTTGCCAAATAACCCCAAGTACGTAGGTAAGAGAGTTTCGATCTTTTCCTTTCCCATTCCTCAAACGGAGTCATGGTCTTATGCTTTGTGGGAACTCGGTTTAGAACATGACACGCAGTCATTAGCGCCTCCCCTCACCATTCCTTGGAAAGACCCGATGTGTCTAACATGGTGTTAACCATATCAGTTAGAGTTCGGTTCTTTCTTTCGGCTACCCCATTTGACTGAGGTGAGTAGGGAGGTGTCCTCTCATGGATTATACCATGTTCTGCATAAAACAGATCAAATTCATTGTAAAAATACTCTCCACCACGATCGGACCTAACCCGTTTAATTTTTTGATCAAGTTGGTTCTCTGCCTCAGCTTTATAGTTTTTGAAGAAATTTAAAGCCTTATCTTTTGATTTCATAAGATACACATAACAATATCTAGTGGAGTCATCAATCAACGTCATGAAGTATCTCTTTCCACCTTTTGTCAACACGCCATTCATCTCACAAAGATCAGAATGTATAAGCTCTAGTGGCGCCAAGTCTCTTGCCTCTGCAGTCTTATGGGACTTGTGAGGTTGCTTAGCTTGCGCACATACTTGGAACTTAGAGCCTTTGACAGTAGAGATTTTCGGAATTAAATTCATATTGGCTAGCCGCATCATGCAAAAAAAGTTAATGTGACAAAGTCGTGAATGCCAAATATCAGACTCATTGTTGTGGCAAACATTATTAATAACTTTAGTGCAAATATCTGACAAAGATAGGCGGAACAAGCCTCCGCTCTCATAGCCTTTCCCAACAAATTGTCCATACTTAGAAATTACAACTTTATTGGATTGGCACAAGACCCAATCCTAAGCTTAGCTCAAAGATCGTGTAGTTCGTTTGCTGTAGCTTTTCTGAATGTCAAGTATCATTTCCTTAGACCATGAGATTGTGCAACTCCCGGATACCGTAGGAGTACCTTGGGTGTGCCGAACGTCACAACGTAACTGGGTGACTATAAAGGTACATTACAGGTATCTCCGAAAGTGTCTGTTGGGTTGGCACGAATCGAGACTGGGATTTGTCACTCCGTATGACGGAGAGGTATCTCTGGGCCCACTCGGTAATGCATCATCATAATGAGCTCAATGTGATCAAGTGGTTGATCGCGGGATCATGCATTACGGTACGAGTAAAGTGACTTGCCGGTAACGAGATTGAACAAGGTATTGGGATACCGACGATCGAGTCTCAGGCAAGTAACGTACTGATTGACAAAGGGAATTGAATACGGGATTGATTAAGTCCTCGACATCGTGGTTCATCCGATGAGATCATCGAGGAGCATGTAGGAGCCAACATGGGTATCCAGATCCCGCTGTTGATTATTGACCGGAGAGGCGTCTCGGTCATGTCTGCGTGTCTCCCGAACCCGTAGGGTCTACACACTTAAGGTTCAGTGGCGCTAGGGTTGTAGAGATATTAGTATGCAGTAACCCGAAAGTTGTTCGGAGTCCCGGATGAGATCCCGGACGTCACGAGGATTTTCGGAATGGTCCGGAGGTAAAGATTTATATATA